TTTAAAACAGCATTTCTCAAAGCAGGGCTGGCTTCACCGGCGTACGGCTGCCCTGCACGCAGAAGGGCCCCGAGCTTGGTGTAATGCTCTGCTATCCCTGCCTTGAATTTCTAAATAATTTTTGAACGAGAGGCCCTGCATTTTCATTTTGCACAGTTCACATTCCATTTTGCACTGAGCCCACAAATTACGTAGCTGATCCCGCCTGAGACTCATACCGCTCACTGTACACAACACGATTTTAGGCGCTGTGCGTGTAACCTTGTCTCAGTTTAAGTAGTCACAGACGCATTTCTGTCTGTGTTAGAACCAGCATGGAACTAGGTCAACGTGCCCCTGATTTGCTGGCTATTATTACTTAGGAGGGGGTCAGATTTACTTGTGGGAAAAAAGTGAGTCCGTTTAAAGAAAAATAGGAGGTGAATTAACTGCAGATGCTACTCAAATGTGGCAAAAGAATAAAAGGAAGGGAAGCAAATGGATTGATCAAATTTGGGAATTGCCAACTTAAAGAACCGCCAATGCTTTCTCCCCGCCACCGCCAAACCCGTGATCCAAAAATATTTCCCTCCCAACCAGCCGCGGTATCTGGAGTTCCCGCACCCACTGTTTCTCAGAAGGAACTCTAATTCGCTGTATGCCTTTGGGCAAGTCCCTTCATCCCTTGAGCCTCAGTTTGTCCATCTGCAAAATGGGCTAGCTCTTTCCTCCTAGAATCTTGGATTCTCCTGAGTTCAATCAATGGTTTGGAAATGCTGGTCCTCCCACCAGCTACATGGGAACCACTGGAGGAGGTCATAAAATGTGCTTGTCCCCAGACTCCGGCCTTGGGAATGCTGATTCAGTAGGTCGAGGGTAGAACCTGAGGATATTTTTACCAACCTCCTCAGTGATTCTGATCAGCAGCCAGTTCTGAGAACCACTGGGTTGAAGTATTGAAAATCGCTCATTAATCACTCAACAAACACTTGCCAAGTATCGCCTGCGCATTTTGCACGGCGCAGAGTAACAGAGAACTATAGAATCTCTGCGCTCCGGGATCCTGCAATTTCCTGTTGCAGAAAGAACTCGAACGTGAGATAACATCAACTTCCTGTGCGCCAGCTACTGTTCAAAGAGTTGTATGGGTATCAACTGTGGCACCCTGGATTTTCCAAAAAACAGCCACTGCATTTTGCCAGTCCCGTATGGCCTTCCAGAACTTTCCCCCATTAACCAATGGAGAGTCTTTCTGCTCCCCTTGAAACTGGGCAGAATGTTGTGACTTTCATGACGAGCAGAAAGCAGCAGCAGTGACCCTCTGTGACCTCCAGGTGAGGTCATAAAAGGCAATAAATATTCCTTCCACCTGCCTTTCTCTCTCTTGGGATGCTCGTCCTTGGAACCCAGCCACCATCTTATAAGGAAGCCACATGGAGATGACACTTGTAGGTGTTCTGGCTGTCTGACCTGACTGAGGCGTCCCCGACCACCAGACACATGAGTGGGCAGGCTTCCAGATGATTCCAGCGCCCAGCCTTCCAGCTGGGTGACTGCTCCGGCTGTCACCAAGTAGAGCATAGAGGTTGTCCCCACGGAGCCCTACCCAAGTTGCAGATTTATGAGCAAAATAAATTGTAGCTCGTTTTAACCCACTAATATTCAGGTTTGTTATGCAGCAATAGATAACCATAAGATGAGCCCATGGACACTCCACGACTGTACAAGAAATGTACCATTTTCCCCCTTTTTACAGATGAAGAAACTCAGGCTTAGTGAGGCAAAGCCACTTGTCCCACATCACACAGAGAACAAGCCATATAGCCAGAATTTGACCCAAAGTCTGTCCAACCTCAAGTCCACATTCTTTGTTGATGGGAAGATCAGCGGGTCAATCTAGAGGGTGTAGAGCGTTTGAGTTTGGAAAGAATGGTGGAAAATAGTGGAAAAGATGGCCAAGGGCTGAGCTTAGAGAAAAAGCAAGAGTAGCCAGAAGAAATAAGCAGATTTGCCATTGGAATTAAGATCAGTCAAGGCCACACTCTACCTGGCACAGCTAGGGACGGTCCCTGCTATGCAAACGCCGGAGAGGAATCCATTGCTCGGCTGTCCAACACCCAGATCAGAGGGCATAGAACGCTGTCTTCACCTTCACACCTCTTCCTTCAACAGGGAAGGATCTTGTCTTTGAAATCCTGATTCCTCCTGCCCTTGCCCACCCCCAGGTTTTCTCCTTCCAACACGCAAAGTCTGATTCACACAGATGAGACGCCCAGCAAGCAGGTCCCAGCACAGGCCATCTTCCTTCCCACTACACTCCATTTCTCTCTCCCTCTTGCCTGAAAGATGGAGCTCTTCAGCAGGTTAGGGACTGAGAAAATGAGAGTTTTCAACGATCTGGGCGATACCACTTTCTGGTTTTCACTTTTTTCTAGTGCCCCCTGCATCGCCATCCTGGGGAGATGTTTTGTGAAGATAATCATGATTTATTAAATGCCAGGCATCGAGTTAGGTGCTGGACATACACGATTATATCTGCTCCACTGCAAAATGGGCCGTGGTAGAGATGACATGAGCTTTGGCACTTAAAAGCTTTTTGGCACTTCCACATGCCAGACACTCAGAAGCTAACTTTGTTGACCTCCTGCTGCTCTGCCGATAACAATAATTCATTATGATGATAACTTAGCACATTGGCCCTATAAAATAATACCTAATCCTTTTAGGTCCTATTACATCTCTATTTCAAGATGAGGAAACTGAGGCACTGGCAGCATTTGTCCAAGGTCGCACAACTTATAAATGGTGGAGCCAGGACTCCAACCCAGGACTCCATAACTCCGAATTCCATGGTTGTAAGCAATATCACTCCTTGCCCATTTTCCTGTGCTCCTTGGTGCTGCCCAGCCCCTATCTTGCTTTCCCTCTCATCTCCTGGTGCTGTGCAGTCATTCTTTGCCCTGCAACACACGAGAGCCTGAGCACGATTCAAAGCCCTTTGCACTTCTTTGACCGACAGCCTTGTAATAGTATTACTGCTGATGGCTTTTCATTCCCGATGCCAAACCTGATTTGGAGTTCACAAGGCTGAGGGTTTCAATCCAGGCCCTGTGGACAGGCTCCGGGAGCCCTAAGTGACTGTAGCTTACAGACAATCTAATTGTTATTGACATTTGTGTCTGATTGTTCATCAAGGAGGAGCTGGCTTGTAGGCCAAATCATTCTATTACCCGGCCCCCTTTCAGCCTCCCCACTAACGACAAAACACGTATGCGCCATCAGTGGCAGGCCAATCAATCGTAATATCACTCTACATCTATCACAGTCGCTTTTGTGGGCTTGGGTTTGGGAGTGGGTCGGGCAGAGGGAAATGGGAGGATGGACTGGATGAAAATTCTTGTACACTGAATCTGAAATGGAAGCATCCATGCAAACAGAAAGGAACGGCTGTAGATAGATGATAGACACATAGGTAGATATAGAGACAGTAATGCAATAATCTGTGTCTGTATCGGTATCTATATATCCTACTACTTGAGAGGATAATTTTAGGAGGCATGTCACTTGTCAGTTCCTTCTTCTTGGTTGAAGCCCAGTGTCCCAGGATAATGCCCAATTTTATCTTGAATGACACTTGTGTCGCATTAAGCAAGCTTGATCATAATCTAGTCAATATGTTGATGAGTTACCCTGCTCCCCCGCCCCAAAAAGGGCATCTCTCATTCATGTCACAAATCTTTGCCTCATTTTATTTAATTCTATTTTTCTAGACTCTCCCATTGGCCAGACTGCCCTCTTTAGTGTTATCTTGAAAAAGTTGAAACCATCAGCCTTCACCAAGTGTTGGCTGCGCCTGACGTCAAGTGCTTTCACAATTTCTCATTAATTCCAAGAGTGCGTGAAGACCTCACAGCATCAGTTAGACAAAGGTCATTTTGCGAGGAGCAGTAAAAGTTTTGCACCGAACCATCCATACCTTCTTGGATTCTAATGACAGTGACACAGCCTTTTGGAAGGGCTGGCACAGTGGTCACTATGGGGATACAATGATGACCCTGACCTTCTTAGGAACAGGATTGAGCAAACTCACGGAAAGCAGTGCTCTTCTTTGCTTAAAAAGAAAAAAGCAGGCACATTAAAACAATAATGAGTTTTATACACCAGCAGAATGACGAAAATTAAAAAGGCTGATAATACCAAGTGCAGGTGAATATGTTCGATGACTGAAGCCCTCACACCTTGTTGATGGGTGTGATAGACCACGTTGTGTCCCTCCCAACCTTCAGATGTTGAAGTTCTAACTCTAGCAACTCAGAATATGACTGTATTTGGAGACTGGTCTTTAAGATGGTGATTGAGTTGAAATGAGGTCACTGGGGCGGTGTGGGGTGGGGGAGCCCTGATCCAATCTGACTGGTGTCCTTGTAATGAGAGATTAGGACACGAACATGTACAGAAGGATGATCACGTACAGCCACAGGGAGATGACCATCTACAAGCCATGGAGAGAGGCCTCAGAAGAAACCAACCCTGCCGACCCTCGATCTTGGACTTCCAGCCTCCAGAATTGTGAAACAGCAAATTTCTGTTGTTCAGTCTGCGGTGCTTTGTTACAGCAACCCTAGCAAACCAATACAATGGGGATGCAAAATGGTGTGGCCGCTTTAGAAAACAGGTTGCCCCTTTTTATGAAGTAAACCATATACTAGCAATATAACCCAGAAATTCCATTCCTGGGTATTCACCCGAGAGAAATGAAAACATGTTCACACAAAGACCTCAAAATGAATATGTATAACATAATTATTTACAATAGCCCGAACTGTTGAAACAACCCAAATGTTTATCAACTGATGCGTGCATAAACAAATCATGGTATATCCCATCCAATGGAATATTATACACCAAGAAAAGGGATCAAATTACGGGCACATACAAAAATGTGGACAAATCTCAAAAGCATTCATTCTCTCAAGTGAAAAAAGTAAGACACCAAAGACTACGTAATAATTTCCATTTAATGACATCTTGGAAAAGATAAATCTAAATGAACAGAAAACAGATCAGTGGTTTCCAGGGGCTGGAAGCAGAAGAAGGCAATTGATTACAAAGGGGCATCAGGGAACATTTGGGTGATAGAAATGTTCTATTTCTTGATTACAGTGATGGATACATGTCAGATTCATCAAACTGTATCTTAAAATGGGTAAACTTTACTGTATATTAATTTATTTCATATAAATATTTGTATTTATAAACATATAATATTTCATATATTTAAAAAAATAATAATGAGCTATCCTTCTTTGCCTAAGGGGCAAAAATTGTCAAAATTAATAACATCCAACATTGGTGAAGATGCAGGGAAATGATTACTTCCATGCAATCCTGTTGGGTGTTTAAATGAGGACAGTCTTTCTGGAAAGCAAATTGGTACTTCTCTATCAAAATGTAAAATATACCCATCTTTTGACCCAGCATTCTCACCTCTAGGAATCTTGCCAAACTACTTGCACATTTGCGAATACGTCCATAGCAGTGTTGTTTATCATGGCCAAATGTAAGCAATCCGTGGGAAAAAAAACTTATCACAGAAATAGGAGCTCAAAGATATATACCAAACTGTTGACATCCTTAGATCATCAGGGAGGAGAAAAGGAGGCACGAGTGGGGACTGAAAAGGGACCTCTGAACATTTTACTCAATATTCTTCTGTATTGTTTAAAATATTTTATGCAGAGAATGAATTCATACCATGTGTAATATTTTTTTTAACCCTGGGGCCAGAATTTCCATTTTAATAAGTTAAAATGCTTCTCACTCCTTCAAGAGTCCCCTTCTCTGCTCTCTCTTATTTGACAAATGCACTTATTGTTTCAAAAAAAATATTTCGTTGAGATGGGTGCCAAACATTCATTTAGCTTAGCAGATTTGAGACAAAGAAATTCTTTACAAGAAAATAATGCTAGGTGCTACCAGCGCGTGATGTTACCAAAATAATGACAGCAATATCGAGGGTCATAAAAGTAAAAGAAATTGACTGACTCCGCTTAGGTGCAGACCCAGTGATCAAGAATTTCATATGCTTAGTGAAGGTTTTCTCCGAGTTGGCCCAATGACAGGAGCAAAATAAGGGTGAGAGGAGAATGGAGGAACTGTGGACCATTTACACTGCGGAGAAGGGACTAGAAATGCTTCAGGGAAGAGCAGAGGGGTTGACGTTAGATCCAGACTTCCCTGACCCCAGAGGGTAAATATAAAACAAATCAACTTCAATGACAGTGAAAAACACCGAGTTCCTTTGGACCAAGGCTACGATCAGGGACTTTGACTTTGCAAATACCTGGTGCGCTTGCAACACGTGGCCTCCAAGGCCGCCCTGGGAGCATGCGCAGCTTGGGCCGACCAAGTTCCCGGGTTTCCTCCGCGTCTCCACTCCTGGCGTTGAGCAATCAGATATCCCCTTTGCTGGTGGATTCATCAGCCTGGGGAAAACCAGAGATTTGCTTGAGCTATCGGAGTCATTGGAAAGGAGGATGTAGGTAAGTCTTTGAGCTACAGTCATTCTCTGGGGCCATTTCTCCCCCCCGTGAGAGAATTATATGTCATTTTAGAGATCTCTCGAATTTTTCCAGGTGAAAGTTCCAGAAATGATGATCTCGTTGAATTATTTCTTAGCAGACTTTAAGCGAGAAGTAGAAAATCAAATGATTACAGAAATACCTACTCACTTTGAAAGTCCCTTACAAGCAACCATTAGACATCTTAGTGTCTTTGCCCGACCTAGTAATTACAGTATTTTCCCACTTAATTTGGGACTGAGATGAAGAGGGATTCTGTTAAATTGGGGGCCAGCAAAATTTTCCTGTAAAGGGTCAGATGGTGAATATTTTAGGCTTTGTGGGCCTTGTGGTCTCTGTCACAACTACTCGATTCTGCCATTTTAGTGCAAAAGCAGCCATAAGTGAATGGGTGTGACTGTGTTCCCATAAAACTTTATTAATGATGCCCAAACTTGAATTTCATATAAATTTCATGTTTCACAAAATATTAATCTCCCTTTGTTTTTGTTTTGTTTTTGTTTTCTTCAACCTTCGAAAAAGGTAAAAAAAAAAAAAAACATTCTTATCCTCGAGCCTTACAAAAGAGGAGGTGGACTGGATTTGGCTCACAGGACCTCGTTTGCCAACATCTGCATTAAATCTTCTTGTCATTTATGCTTTTTTGTTACAAACATCTTTTTATTTTGAAACCTCCCTCTTATGACACGAAATGTCTTAACAGGTAGATAGATGGATAGATAGGTAGAACATTGATGGTTGACAGATAATAGATAGATAAATAGGATTCTTTTTAAGCAAAAGAAATGGTCTTTGTCCCTTTGGGATATTAGAATGTAAGCCCCCTGAGGGCTGTGCTTAGCATAGTGCCGGGCACACAGTATAGGTTTGAAAATTTCTCTCAGATAAATGAACATATAAAGATCAAAGGAGGGGAAGTTTGGTTCCCATTCTCAAACCATTAGCAACACTCCCTTTCTCCAAGCTATGAGTGTTAGGTAGATGCCAGGTGTCAAAAACTGTTAGGTGAGATCTACATAATGAAGGTGAATTGCCAGGAGTTTGTCAGACAGAGGAGCATTGCAACATCAGAGCTCAAACGCAGCAGCAGACCAAGATGAAAGTCTGAAAGGTATCACAAAAGGAAGGACCTGTCTGGATTGGCCTTACCAAAGGAGAAGTCCAAGTGTGGGGAGAGAAAGAGAGCTAAATCAAGGGAAATAAGATCCCAAATTATATTGGTTAGGTATTTAAGCCCTACTACAGTGACTTAAACACTTAAGATTTCACTTTTTCTCTCATAAAAGAATCCCTGAAATAGACAAGCAGGGACAATATGGCAATTCCATCAAGTTTTCAGAAAGGTAGAGGCAGGATCTTCTTTTTTTTCCTTCTCCAAGTTACCTCATAATTTAGGGCAGCTGCTAGAGCTCCTGCCATTACATAAACATTCCGGATTGCAAGTACAGAAATGAGGAATTTTAGGACAAAGGGTGCACTTATCAGCTGAGTCAACTCTCCTAATCAGTCTTCCCAAGGCATTGTGCACATTTCCGCTTACCTATCAATGGTCAAAATTTAGTCATATGAACATATTGGCTGCAAGGGAAGCTCAGAAACACAGCTTTTTGATGGGAGCATTGCTGCCCACAGAAAATTGGGGTTCTATTTCTAAGGAAATAGAAGAGAGAGAGTATTGTAAAAGCAACTAGCCATATCTGCCTTAACTAATCGTGGTTTATTAATTCATTGATCCATAAATATTTATTATGTGATTACCATGCCTGCCAGACAGGGCTACGTCAGAGAACAAGGGAAGCCCCTGTTCTCGTGAAAATCAAGTTCCAGGAGAGACCAGAGGCATTAAACGGAACTATGTGTAGTGAAACATTCTAAAGTACTATTGGATCATATAAACTGGGTGATCTGTCCCAGGGGGGTGACAAACTTTGTCTTCAAAGGGCCAGATGGCAAATTTTTTACACTTTGTGTACCATATGGTCTCCGTGTCAACACTCTACTCTGTCATTATACACAAAAACAGGCACAGGGAACGTGTAGATGCATGGGCATAGTTGTGTTCCAATAAAACTTTATTAACAAAAGCAGACGGTAGGCCGAATTTGGCCCACAGGTCATTGTTTGGTGACTCCTGATCTAAGCTAATGTGAGAGCTCAGTTAGATCCTGACGTGATGAGGCGTGAAAGATGCTCAGAAGTTCATTATGAAGAAAGGAGTGGGGCTGACATGGAGCTTTCCAGGCAAAGAGTCAAAAGGTACATTGTTTCAAAGATGGAGCTACAAGAAAGAACAAAGCATGTTCAAGGATTTTAAAGGCATCCAAATAGAATGGAGTGTAATCAGCAAGAAGAAGAGAAATGAAAGATGAGTTGGTAGGAGGCTGAAGTCAGGGCTTCCACAAGTAAGTCTGTACTTTATCCTAAGGGCGCTATCGAGTGACTGAGGGTTTTTAATAAGGAAGGGACATGACTAGAGTTTTAAGTTCATTCTGGCTGTTGGATGGGTGAAGTTACTGGAGGGGTTAAGAATAGAGGACAGACATCCATCAGAATGGCTAAAAGGAAAAATAAAATCCAATAACAACAAATGTTAGTGAACTTTTTTTACTCACAACACTTCCGGCACCAAATGTGTGGGGTTTTTCCTCACACCAAGTAATTCTCCAGCTCTCCGGGCACTAACTAGGGGTTTTACAATTCATTTCAATTCTGACACTACCTACCTAGAGTCAGTGCCATAGTCCCCACGTTTAAGAACTCAGTCCCCCCAGATGGCCCTCACTTCAGTCACAAACATTGGGTCCCAGGGTCCTCACGCTTCTGTCTGACTTGGCTACAGATCAGGAGTTCCCACAAACCCCTCCCCTAGGTTCAACAGTTTCCCAGAATGGCTCAGAGAACTCGGGAAGACAGTTCACTTGTGTTTACTGACTTATTATAAAGGATACCACTCAGGAGCAAGCAAATGGAAGAGATGCATAGGGCAGGGTTTGGGGTGGGGTTGGGGTTCGGGGAGCTTCCATGCCATCTTGGGGCACACCACCCTCCCAGCACCTTGACGTGTTCACCAACCCAAAGGCTTTGCACCCCCTATTGTTGAGGGGTTTTCATGGAGGTTCGTTATGAAGGCATGAGGGATGAGATCATTGGCCATTGGTGACCGACTCGATCACCAGCCCCTCTCCCCTCCGCAGAAGTGGGACTGCAGGGCTGAAGTTTCCAACCTTCCGGTCATGCCCTGGTCTTCCTGGTAACCAGCCCCTATTCTGAAGCTACCCAGTGGCCCCCAGCTACCAGGCATCTCCTTATCATACAAGGGACAATCTCCTCTCCAGAAAGGCCAAGAGTTTTAGGAGCTGTGTGCCAGGAACCAAGGATAAAGACCAGATATTTATACTTTATCACAGTAGGCAAATGAATGGACAACCTGGGACATTTCGTTAGCTTCTGCTGGGAGGGTAAATTGGTACGACCAATTCAGAAGACTGTTGGGAAATTTCTAGTAAAGCTGAATGTGCTCCCACCCTGAGAGTCAACACTCCTACTCCTACTCAAGAGAAATGCTAAAATACACAGACACGAACGTCCATAGTCACCCTATTTGAAATAGCCCAAAACTGGAAATAACCCAAATGCCCAGCCATAGTAGGATGGATAAATAAATTGTGTTATCCTTATCAAATGTCATAAAATGCAACCTTGAGAATGACCAATCCACAAGTATGTGCAGTAACATAGATGAATTTCACAAACATGAGCTGTAGTGAAAGCAAGAAGCCAGAGACAAAAAAAATACAGCCCGTTCTGCCATGACATGACATCTGCGTACCTAAAAATCACTGCTCTACACAAAATCACTCAATAAAAACCACAGGGCTTGCAGGGGACATGGGGTGAGGGGGACAACACTAAAAACTTTGTTAGTGATGCATTAAAAAAATAGGAAACTAATAAAAATGGTATCACAGTTTTACATATGTTAAATGCTTTAAAAAAAAAAGTGCATAAATGCTACAATAAATATGGCACTTTGGAAAAGCCCTGAAGTTGCTTGTGGAAGTGACATCAGAGGGTTGCAGCGTGTGAGTTCTTGTGGAGCAGTGGGAGGGGTGGTCTGAAATGGGAAACTGTACTCCAGGTATGGATGAGTGTGTCTTATCACAGACACAGTGAACTGAGGTCGACAGCAGATGTTTGAGGTGTCCGCATTTTGTGTATTTCCCCAGGGTTCAGGCCAGCTGGGTGCTGTTCTCTACATTTATTTAGTGTTTCTTGCAACAAAATCACACATCAGCCAATGCCAAATCTGCCTGACGTTCACATTGTTCCCTAATAGATTAATCACACTGGAACAAAATTGCATTTTCAAAACAAGTGTGATAGCAGAACTGACTGCACATTGGATGATTCCATTTTATAGAAGCTTCAAAACCAGGTCAAGCCCTCTCTATGTAAGTCAGGATAGCAGTTACCCTTGGGTGGGGTGAGGTGACTGAGAAGGGCAATGAGGAGGCTCCCGGGGAGCTGGGAACATTGTGTGCCTGGGTGCTGGCTCCATCTGGGGAAAACATTATGGAGCTGCGCCCTTCACCATACGTGCACTTTGCTATGCATCTGCCAAACTACAGTAAGACATTTACTATGCATGAATGGATGGATGTTCAAAACAGAACCTAACAGAGCAGCAAGAAAAGAAAACTAGTTAGGAAGTCGGTCTGTCTTCTAGACGAGAGAGAATGGTGGCCTGGACCAGGGTGTGAGCAGAGTGGATTGAAGAGCTGCCTAGAATGCAGCAGTGAAGGGTCCAGGGTAAGTCCCAAGTTTCCCTCTGGAGTGAAGGATCAGACTGACCACAGAAGGGAAGCTCCCATTTCAGATGAACCTCTCAGTGTTTCATCCCTGGC